TCTGGGCAATCAAGGAGTTGAGTAGTTTACTTTGGGACTTTAGGTCTGTTACAGATTTTTATCTAGTGTCCCAAAACTAACAAGCATCTTTATCCATTAACTCACATTTAATCACAATGGGGCTGGAGAAAAGGAACAAAGGTTAAGCAGTCCCACAGGTTATAGGACATGTGGAGGTTCTACTTTTAAAAGATACTGTTGGGCGTGGCAGCACACACCTGTAATCCCAGCACTCAGGAGGCTGAAGCAAGAGGATCACCATGAGTTCGAGGCCAGCCTGGGCTACATAGTGAATTCAAGGCTACCCTGAATTACAGAGTGAGACACTGTCTCAAAAAACCAAAGAAATACATAAAAGATACTGTCAAATTCTTTTCCAGCTTATTTGTACTGATTTATGCTCCTATTAGCAGTGTATAAGAGATTCTAGAGATCCATTTGATCTATGTCCTCTCTAATACTTACTCTTTTTTTTTTTTTTGTCTAATACTTACTCTTGTTAAAATTTTTGATTTTCTTGAATGGGTATAAAATGATATCTTATGGCCTTGATTTGAATTCCTTGGATGAAATCTTTGCAGTAAATTTACTAGTTATATGTATTTCTTGGAAATCTGGTTTTTTGGCATTTTTTTCTATTGAGTAGATTGTTCTTTTCTTATTTGTAGCGATTCTTTAAATATTATTGATGCTATCTTGTTGAGTATGTACATTGTAGTGTGAAATTTCTTCTCATTTTCTTTGTAATTTTTAAAATGACAGACAGAATTCTCAGTTTTAAAGATTTGCTTGTGGGCTGGGGATTTAGCTCAGTGGTATCGCTGCCTGCTGCATAAGCGCAAGGACCTGAGTTTGATCCCCGGTACCAAAAAAAAAAAAGCAAAGTCCTCTTTTGTCTTTTCTATTTGGTTATGTTATCTCAGCCCCAAAGCTGATCCTTTTACAATGGATTTACCCCCCTTCATTATTTGAGAGAAAACTTAAAGAGAAGATTTGGTTTATGGTTTCTTCAGAGTCAGCTCAGATCTGTGGCCTTAGGATAACATTTCTCAGACTTATTTTGGCTATTAGGGGACTGATAAGAGGAGCTTCTTGAGGTAGTTTGTTTTAGGGCCAAAATGTTTAGGAAACTGTGGGTTAAATAAAATTCAGTATGTATCTTTACACTAAACTTCTTTCAGAGTCTTTAATATGGTTATGTGTAATGTGACTCTTCAGTAGGGAATGTAGCATTTTCCTCATTGGAAATAGAACATTTTTGGCTGACTCATATTCCTAGGAAGGCAATGAGAAATCTGTTGTTATTTTTAAGTTGGGAGTAGAAGTTATATAAATTAGATTTATTTGAATGCATTTATTTTAATGTAATTTTTGTTAAAAATGTGTTTCAGGTTAGAAGCTGGTGTTATGTGGGTAAGCTGATTTTTCTATTTTATCTCATTGTATGTAATTTAGAAACTTGTAATTTATTTATAAGATATATGTCATTCTTTCTTCCAGGGAGAGAAAAGCACCTTGCTATAAAGCTTTCTAAACTAATTGAAGAAAAATGTAAACTACTTGAAAAAGTTAGCCTTGCTCAAAAAGAGGTAAGATATTGTTGAAAATAACATTCATATTAGAGTTAGAGAACTTTGTACTCCTCAGTGTAGTTACTTCTATGTAAATTTGTTATTAATGCTTTGTTTGCAGAGTTTTCAAGTTCTTTGCTCAATTTCAGTGCTTAACCCTAACAGTCATTGTGGTAGATGTATGGTGTTTTCACACTGGTTTCAATTTGTGTTACCTGGACAAATGAAGTCAAGCATCTTTCTTTATTTTTATTGCCATTTTGATGTTGTTTTTGTGAAGTTGCCTTTTTAAGTTATTTTCATATTTTTGAAGGTATACTTATCTTTTTTCCTTTTCTTATATAGCATTTTTTCAGTATTTCTAGTTTAAGGATATTTTTGCCTCCCTCAGTGTGGTGATGCAGGCCTGAAATCCCAGCTGCTTTGAAAGCTGAGGCAAGAGGATAAAAAATGCAGAGCTAGTCTGGGCTACATAACAAGAGTCTGTCTCAAAAAAAAAAAAAAAAATGCTGCCAGGGATTTAGCTCAGTGGTTCTGCCCGCCTGCCTCGAAAGCGCAAGGAAAGCACAAGGTCCCAAGTTCGATCCCCCGATACCAAAAAAAAAAATGCTAGCTGGACATGGTGGCTCACGCCTGTAATCCCAGCAATGGGGAAGCTGAGGCAGAAGGGTTGTTGTAAATTCAAGGCTAACCCGGGCTACATAGTGAGTTCAAAGCCAGACTGAACTACATAGCTAGAGCCCAGATTCCACAAAACAAACAAGGCAAGACAAGACAAAATGTCTGGGATGTAGTTTAGTGGTCTGCCTAGCATGGATGAGGCCTTAGGTTCAATTCCCAGTCCGTGGACTTTAGTATTCTTCTGTTTATGTCTTTTTAAAATCCCGTTTGTGTCTTTTTAAAATCTCTTATTTTGTACATTGTGTTGCAGTTTTTCTTAGATCTATTCTTTTTTTTATTCATTGAGTTTATTGGTACATTTTAGGTATACAATCTGCTGACATTCATCATTGGGAATTTGTACCTTTATATGATATATCTTGGTTCTTATTTTTTCCCCATTCCCCTGCCCTCTCTTCAACCCCTCTGCCCTCCCTCCATTTACAAAGATTTTGTTTTTCCCTTTTCTCATATTTATTCCTTTCCCTTCTTTCCTTTCCCCTACCCCTCCCACTTTCCCATCCCCTTTCCCTTTGGACCTTTTCTTCCTATTTCACATTATCTGTTATACATTTTGATCCTTATTTACACTTTCAGTTTCTCACACCAGAAAAACTTTGGTATTTACATGTGTGTCCTATTTATTTCACTTGAGTATTACCTCAATGTGCATCCATTTAGCTATAAATGTCTCTAGTTTCTCATTCTTTATGATTGAGTAGTATTCCATTTTATATAAAAAAACCCCACATTTTCTTTATCCAGTCTCCAGTGGATGGGCAGTTGGGCTGTTTCCAAGTCTTAGCTACTACAGTCTGTGCCGCTATGAACATGGGTGCACATACATTGCTGTGGTATGATTCTTTTAATTCTTTTGGGAAGATACCCAGCAGCAGACTAGTTGGGTCGAATGGGACCTCTAATCCTAGTTCTTTGAGATATCGCCATACTGATTTCCACAGATCTCTCTTTTTTTTTTTTTAAAAAAAGCTTTATTGGGATATAATTACATACCATACAATTCACCCATTTGAAGAATGTAAATGAGTGATTGTTAGTATATCCACATAGTTGTACATCCATGAAAGCAATCAACTTTTGAAAATTTTGTCATCCTCCAAAGAAACCGTAGACCCTTAGTTAATGGTCTTCACCCAGTTTGTCCCACTTCCAACCCCTTGAGAATTTATTTACATCCTATTTCTATAGATTTGGCTTTTCTAGACACCTCACATGAATGGAATCATAGAATATGTATTCTTTGTGATTGATTTTTTTCTCTTAATGTGATGCTAAACAATAATTCAACAATTTCACCCTTAGACATACCCCAAAGAGATACTGTTTTACCCATGTTGTTACATAATTAGAATTAATTTCTTTTTCTAATAAATAATACTGCTTTTTGTTTGTTTGTTTTGAGACAAGTTCTTGCTTTGTAGTTCAGAGGAGTAGCATATAGACATTTTGGGAGATGTTACTGTTGCCAAGCACAGGGCTCTATCCTAAAGCCTCAGCTACTTGGCTAACCCTACTCCACAGGTCCCGAACTCTTTTTTTTTTTTTTTTGGTACCGGGGATCGAACTTGGGTACTTGGGCTTGTGCAGCAGGTGGCGTCTTTTTTTTTGTTTTATCTTCTCAGCTTCTGGTCCTGAAACATTTGTCAGCCTTTACTTCTGGGGGGAAGAAGAAATGTCAAATGCTGGGTTTGCCTCTCTGGAGATTCCCTCCTTTCTGATAAATTCTCAATGTTTTAATGGCTCTCTGAGGCCTGAAGATAGATCATGTTTTTTGGTATTTTTATTCAGTTCTTCTTGTTCCTAGCAGGAAAGTTTATTTAAAACAACCAAGCCTTTTTATACACTTTTTGTTTGAAGTCTTCAGGTGCCTTCGCCACTGTGTAGTTTTCATGCATAATGATGGGTTTTTTTTTGGTACCGGAGATCGAACTCGGGTCCTTGCACTTGCACAGCAGGTGGCAAAACCACTGAGCTAAATCCTTGGCCCTATGATGGTTTTATTGATGGTTGTTCTCGATCTTTTAAAGACTTTATATTTCCTGCTTACTTTATTTGTTATATAATATGAATTAAAAATGAAATTTTCTGGCCAGGGACACAAACTTGTAATCTTCGCACACTGAGAGCCTGAGTCAGGAGGATTACAAGTTTGAGTCCAGTTTAGGCAATTTAACAACTTAGCAAGACCCTGTCTCGAAATAAAAAAATTTTAAAAAGGGGAGGGCTGTAGATGTAGGTAAGTGTGAATGTCCTGAGTTCGATCCCCAGAATTGCTTCCCGAAATGAAAAATTCTGATGGCCAGTTATTATAAATTTCTCTTATTGAATAGACATAGAGAAGAAGTTTACTTATACAAAAAATAGCCCCCCCCCCTTTTTGTGGTACTGGGATTGAACTCAGGGCCTTCACATTGAGCTACATCCCAAGACCTTTTTTATTTTTTATTTTGAGACAGGCTCTTGCTAAATTGCCCAGGCTGGGCTCAGATTTCTCATCCTTCTGGTTCATTTTCCCAGAGTACTGGGATTATAGCCATCTGCCACCATACCTGGCTTCAAAGATATACTTTTAAAATAAATATTTGGATAATCTTTAGTACAACCTTTCTCTTAGACTTTTTACTTCCTTTTAAGTAAAAAAATGCTCATATGAGTTATATTCCTGTTTTCTAAGATGACTTTGGACAGCTTTCTTAGTATTAGGGTGTTGTCAAAGCTAGTGAATTGTGATGTGTTGGCTAGCCTGTCTTTGTAATAGTGATCAGATTTGATGAATGTAAAGCTAAGTAAACCCAAGCGAATTTAACATACTCATGGAGATAGATTCTGTCTGCTCTTTAGATGACAACCTAGATAAAATTTGGAATAAAACTTGTAACTTTTACTTATGTGCTGCCTTGTTTCAGTATGAAGGCTTAGAGTCTTCTTTAAAGGATGCCAGCTTTGAGAAGGAGTCAACAGAAGCACAAAGTCTGGAGGTAAAACATTATGGTATAACTTAAAAGTCTGGGGAGAGGTTCTGATTAAGTGACATAAACTTTAAAAAGAATGTATCTTTCAAAACTATTTCAAAAATATGTGCAAGAGCATCTCTGGATGTTAAAACTTAAGGAAAAAGTTAAGCAGAGGAAACAGAATGTTAGTACATAGGATAAGATATTTTAAAAATTTGACCTCTTGTTACTAATTAGTCTTCAGTGAGACATAATCAGTTTACTGCAATCTAGAGATGTCTATAGAGTTCTTTCATTCTTCATTCCTAAGAAATGAATTAAGGTGCCTACTCCCTTTTTGACTCAATTTGCTTTAGAAAGGGGAAATAGGACTAAATGTTCACAAATTTAGGGATGATTGGAAATAATAAGTTGTATAAATTGTGACAATGTTTGCCTTTACTTCACCCACAGGATAGTAGGAGCTAAGTAGAATTAGACCAGAGTTTTATATTATAAGTAGTGGTGTCCTGGTAAATGTTTAACAAGTGCTGTCTAAAAAGCATTTGCCGAATTCTATGGTATAAATACTTCCACTATGGTCAATTTCATGCTACCAACATGCTGTCCCTGAATGAGAAATTTGGAAGAGATATACTCAATTGACTTTCCTACACTAGGTGTGATTAGCTAATTATAAAGAAGTATGGTAATTTGTATGTAGCTCAAGTTAGATTAGTTAAGACTGTTTAGAGATGGAATTGTTGTAAAAAGAAGACTATTAGCAAAGGATGCCTGTGCCTGGCATGGTGGCACACACCTATAATCCCAGCACTTGGAGGTGAGGCAGCAGGATTGCCTCAAGTTTGAGGCCAGCCTGGGCTACATAGTGAGACCTTGTCTAAAAAAACAAAAAACAAACAAACAAAAAAGGAAGATGCCTGCATTTGCTAAACTAGAAGACAGTAGTAGACCTGGTACCTTTGGTGTATTTGTTTATTCCAGATTGGGAATTCTCAGTCACCCTTGTCTGTAAGCAGAAAGTCTGTGTCATGATTCAGAATTTCCTTGTAGATTCCAAAGGACTCTAAATAATATAAATTGGATTCCAAATACATTTCTTAATCTCTTCTTTCTTCAATTGTTACCTGTAAGTGACCTCAAGAACTTACTAAAATTGTTATATTTTATTGTTGAACTGTCATTCTAAATTTTGTCCCAGTAGAATTTATTAGTTTGGTAAATTAAAAAAAACTTTAGAAGGCATTTGGCATACTGACAGAAAAGAGCAAAAACAGGGTATCAGAGATTTATTTACTCAGGCTTGGTGGTGTTATGCATAAAGTACATCAATTTGCTATCAAAGTAATGAATTTATATAATCTAGCAACAAAATTAGTTTTTAGCTGAACTGAACGTTTTGAAAAATCTCTAATTTTAAAGTCTTCTTTTTAGGAATAGAAATATAATTGAATAAAAACTATAAGATGATACAACTTTTAGAAAGTTTGATGTTTGAATCTGTACATAAAAACCAAGCCATCCAGGAGACCGAGGGCAAGGGGAGGTGGCCAGGGAAGGGGAAATAAGTAGAATAAAGATGTACCATGTACAGGAACCGGATCACGACAATCATTGTAAACACTGTGTGTGATGAACATGAGATAAGATGATAAGATCAACTTGGGAATGAAAATGGGGAAAGGGGATTTAGAGGAGAAAGGAGAAAGTGAGGAGGGAAGGTAACTAAAAAAAGAATCAAGCTATATTATGTACATGTACCCTTTCCCCAAGATGATTGTAAACTGCATGTAGTCAGACATGTACTAATTTTTAAAAACCCAAAAAACCAACAGAGTAATTTAGATTCAAGTCAGAGAATTCCTGTAATGATATAGTCAGAATTGAGGAAATTTTTGTAAACACACTTTTTAATTACTATACTATTTTTTGGTTTATTATTTTTTTAACAAGTTTGATGAAGGATCACAAATACCCGAGGTATGTTCATTATAGTATTTAAAATCCATTTGGAGTAATCCAATAACTAATCACTTTAAATTAAAAAGATTCTAGGAAATATGTCATAATCCAATGGGGACTATTACCATGAAGCAATCTTAATTGGTTTTTAAATTTATTTTTTATGTTTTTATATTCATTTAGATTTATTTCTCCTATTTTCCTTAACATGCTTTTTAACATGCTTTAGAACAGAGGCTGGCAAACGGCTTAGTGGATTTTCTGCCATATTTTGTGAATAAAACTATTGGAACATAGTCATGTTCATTCATTTAGGTATGTCTTGGTTGTTCATAACAATGATACAGTCAAATATGACAGAGACAATATGGCCCTGAAGTCCAAAATATTTACTTTCTGATTCCTTAAAGAAGTTTGCTGACCACTGCTAGCATTGCTATTATTTTAATATTATAAAAATGAGCAAATATATAAACTTTACATAAGTACCTATATTTGATTATAGTCATCTGATTTACCCTAACCAAAAATTCCCATATCTGTCATAAGTTTGCTTTCTGTTTTAGGAAACCTATGAAATGCTGGATAGGAACAGATTGAAGCTTGAAGATGAAATACTCTTTCTAGAAAAAGAGCTAAATGATGAGAAATCTAAACATTCTGAACAAGATGAATTGGTAAGGCTTTTGTATTTGAGAAGAATAGAAGGGAAAGAAAGTTGAGTTTTAAAAATTAATATGATGTTGGTTGAAATATTGCGTGCACTGTAAAAGCAATGAAAAGACTACATACAAGGTTATAAAGTAGAAAGCAAAATTTTCCTGATCCACTCTCCACTTGCTAGATGTTACCCTAAGCTTCATGCATGTTCATTTTTATTTTTTATTTTTTTTCCTGAGACAGGGTCTCCATGTGTAGTTCAGGCTGGCCTTGAACTCACAGTGGTTCTCCTGCCTCAGTGCCTTATGTACTGGGATCATAGGCATGTGGCACCATGCCCAGCTCTCATGCACATTGTTAAAGACATTTTCTATATGTGCTGTAGAAGTAACTCAAAGAATTTAGATTAAATCATCACACACATTGTAAATTATATATAGCGAGCATTTATTGTAAAATCTGGTTTAAGGAAAATCTTGATGTGTATGAGATTATTTAATAAGATGTGATATTGGTGGACTTAACTTGAACTTGTGTGAGTGCTATGAAATGTCAAAGTTGAGCTGAGGTATTTATATAACTTTGATATGAAAGCCTTTTCAGCACATGATAAATTAACTGAGAAGTTGATTGGAGCCCTCACTTATGAAACGAGAGTGTTAGGGCCGGGGATTTACCTCAGTGGTTTTGCTGCCTGCTGCGCAAGCACAAAGACCTGAGTTCGATCCCTGGTACCAAAAAAAAAAAAAAGAGTGTTAGCTGAGCAGTATACTATATTTATTTATATAATGGTTTAGTGAATTCTTATTTATTGATTGATACTGTCTTTCCAGATGGCCGATGTTTCAGAAAAGATACAGGCCCTAGAAGATGAGTCAAAATCCCTCAAATCCCAAGTAGCTGAAGTAAGTTGAATTAGTCGAATGGGTCTGTTGCTTTTGAAAATCATTTAATTTTATTATTTTTATTATTACAAAATAAGATACTATATTAGGATTTGAGACATAGATCTTAGATATTTATTTTTTTTTACGTGAAGTACTTCAGGAAAGTTTATTTTTCACTGGATAAATATTTATTGTTATTGTTAATACTGAGCAATATTAGAGGTGTGTGCCACTTACCATCAATAGACAAACCCCTTGGAGTTTTAACTTTTAATCACAGAGACAGAAAGTAAATAGTTAACAAAATGTGTTGCATGGTAGAAGGTTATAAGAGGTTAAATCATTTGTCCAAGACCACTTGGCACATTGGTGACAGAGTAAGGAGTAGGTCAGCCTTTTTCTTTTATAACATGCTGCCTTTGCTGTCAGTATTGGCAAATATTTGCCTTTGTTTAAATTCCATGTTCTAGGGTGAATGTTAAGATGAGCATTTGTTAGATTAATTGTTATAAACTGTAGCTATTTTTTTTTTTACTTAGGCCAAAACAACTTTCAAAATATTTCAAATCAATGAAGAAAGACTTAAAGGAGCAAAAAAAGATGCTTTGAATGAAAATTTCCAACTTCAGGAAAGTCAAAAACAGGTTTGTACCCTGTAGAGACTCTTCAGGTTGTGAATGTATAATTACAGGTATTCCGGTCACACTCATGACTGATCTCTGCTAGGAACAAGAGTAAGCTTTTTTTTTAACAGCATATGGAGGATGTTTATTAGTGGTTTAACAAATCAGGGTTAGGAGTTAGACTACGAAGAGTCAGGAAGTTCTTAAATGTATTGTTTCAAGCCAATAAAATCTCACATCAGTTCTCATCACAGTAACTAGCCCATTCAAGAAAACTACTGTAGTCCTTAAGGACCAGTGCAGTGTTATAGAAGTTAGCTACCCCTTTTAGAATATACAGCCTTTTTTTTTTTTTTTTTTGCCTCCCTGTAGCAAAAAGCAGACTAGCAATTTAAAACCTCACCCTGCTACATCCTATTCAAAGATTAGGTTACAGTTGAAAACAGATTTTCTTTTCTTTTTTTCTTCAGTTTTAGTTTTTTATTACTGCATGTTTGCAGTACATAATGATTACATTGCTAGTGGGGAGGTGGTCCATGTGCATAACATATCTTAATTTTTTTTTCATCCCCTTCCTTTTCCTTCCCTCCCCCTTCCCTCAAGTGAGTAGGGTTTTCATTGAGAGCACATTAGCAGGACAATTCCCCTGGCATACTTTGATTTCTATTTGTATAGGATATAAATGTGTATACCTCTGATACCTTCTTCCTCTAGGAATGTAAGTAACCCAGGGCATTTAGCATTTTGGTGATCACAGCAAGTAGTATTTAGCACCAGCTTGCCAACCAAACTGAAGGAAGTACAGAGAATACAAATGAGGGTTATTGAAGTTACCAATCTGGAGCCTAAAGGCAGAAGAAATTCTGTTGGCAGGTCAGATGAAGATTTAGCTTTTATTCTCTTCCTCCCTGGCATATGTAGACACTCCCTTTCATCTACATGCATTTCTTCCCTTCTGTTTTCCCAATAAAATCACAATTTTTCGGTGGAAAAGTTGTGCCTTGATTATATTATGATTCTCTTGGTAGTACTCAGTCTGAGCCATGTGATTTCCTCTAATTACATCTTTTAGCCAACATTTTATCTTTTCTTTAGTTAGTAATTATTACCTGTAATATGTAGAGGTAATTCATCTGTGCATTCTCTTTTAGAGATATAAATGTTGTATTCATGCATTCAGATGCTGTGATTAATCTGTTAAATCATTGTTTTTGTTTAAAGCAGTTCTTCTTGGGGCTATCCATCCTCTTGGTCCAATAAGAATTTGCTCTGTAGGTTAGGCCTCTCTTGTCCTGAGATTTTTACTTCACTCCCATCCTGAGGATTTCATTGTCTTTCTCTTGGGCTGGAGCTTTTATTTCTTGTATTTAAGATTTTCTCTTTTTTGGTTCCTTTGGTTAGCTTTATGAAGAGATATAAGAGGTAATTCTTTTTAGAACTTACATGCTTGAAAATATCTTGTTTTTCTCTCATACTTACTGATATTTTGTTTGGATATCAGCTGGGTCAGATACTATCAGGTTGGAATTTTTTTCCCCACACATTTTGACATTACTGTCTTCACTTTTCATTATTACTTTTGAGAAGACAAATGCTTTGGACATTATAGAACTTTTTTGTTATTCTTTTCTTCCCTTGAATCTTTTAGTATCTTTTCATTCTTTCCATTTCCTTGAAATTACACAACGATGTGCCTTGGAGTGTGTCTTTTTTATACATTGGGTTGGGCACTTTCAGTCTGGAAAGTCCTCTTGACTTGGCTCTGGGAAATGAACTTGACTGATTCCATACTTTGGGGGAGATAGTTTACATAATTGCTTGAAAATGTCATTTTTAATCTCTTTGGAACTTTTCATTTTTTTCTTTGATAGTTTTCGTTTATAAGAATTTTTTGCTTTGATTATGCCTTATTGATTTATTTTTTGTTTCATGGATGCATTGTCTTATCTTGGTGAAGATATTTAGGGTGTTTTTGAAGTGTTTTTTTAAAAAATTTTTTTTTAGTTCCTGAGTTAACTTGTTTCCTTTGAGTTCCTTTACTTTCTGTTTTGGCCTATGTCTTTGTTAAACAACAACATTTATTAAACACTTACGATGTTACATGTAATATCCTAAGTTCTTTAATACATTAATTTTGACAGCAGGCAGTTTGATAATATTCTCATTTATATTTTACACATTAGGTGAGTAAAGCACAGAAAGATTTTATAAACAGCCTAGTGACCCCCAGTTGGTAAGCAGTAGACCTGGGATGTAAATCCAGCCACTTCTTTTCCAGCATCCCTCCTCTCCATCCCCGTACCCCACTGCCTCCCAAGATGGTGGGTCCCTCCTACACTTTTTTTTAATGTTTATTCTTATGTTTGTAGTACATAATGATTACATTCACTGTAGGGAATTGGTACATGTACATAACACATTTCAGTCCCCCCATTCCCTTGGGGTATGTCTTATCTAAAAGGTTTTCTTTTCAGGTACTTGGTTCATGGCTTATGCTTATTTAATCCTAAAGTTTTCCAAATCTAGTTGGCTACTCATGTGTGTCATTTATGAGCTTTTCTGTAGGGTAATCTCACTGGGGTGTTTCTAATAAGAGGATCACTAGTTGTTGGTGTCTGAAGACCATTTTTACTGAGATGAATTTTCCTCAGTTCCCATTAGGGAGATGGAACAATTTCTTGTAGCTCAGTGAGGTAAGAAGTGCTGGTATTACTATTCAGTAAGTCAGCTCTTACTTAATACCTTTATATTTTCCTGCAGATGTTCGAGAGTCTCAGGTTCCATGTTTTTAAAGAGTAGCTTTTTTTGTTGTTGTTGTTACTGGGGATCAAACTCGGGTCCTTGTGCTTGTGAGGCAGGCAGTGGAACCACTGAGGTAAATCCCCAGCCTACTAGCTATGTTTTTGACAGTATGTGTAAGTATGTTTGTGTGAAAGAGAGAATGAGAAATAATAAGAATGTGTTTATATGTATGTGCTGAAAGAACATAAGCTTTTTAACTGCTTTTTATTTATTATTTATTATTTACTTATTTTTTGGTATTGGGGATTGAATTCAGGACCTTGCACTTGCAAGGCAGGCGCACCACCACTGAGCTAAATCCCCAGCTCCTTAACTGCTTTTTACACTTTTTGGCCAGTGACCCTTTTTTTCATTTTTGCTCTTCCCCTAGTACTTGTACCTTTAAATCATGAGACTTTCTAGGTTGTGTCATCTGTCTCTTTCCACTTTCTACTTACATACTTATCTTTTGCCTTATCTCCTATCCCTATTCCTTGTGGAGTCTGTGTCTTTTTAGTCTCTTTTCTGTCACCTTACTAGATTATAGAAGAGAGTGGTGGTGAAACCTGGGTTAAATTCCCCATGCTATAATCGAAACTTTTGATTTGCCTTTTTTCTAGTTTGAAAAAAATTTCACCTAGGTTGCCTTGACTCTTTACAGCTGTTTTCTTTTTTTTTTTTTTTTTGAGGCAGGGTTTCACTTTGTAGTTCAAGCTGGCCTTGAGTTCATTATTTAGCCCAGGCTGGCCTTGAACTTGTGACCATCCCCCTGCCTCAGCCTCCTGAGTGCTGGGATTATTGGTGTGCACCATCATGCCTGGCTACAGTTGCTTTCATCCAATTCCTTTTTAATCACAGAGTTCTGAAAACTTCTGAATTCACAGATTCTCTGTTCTCATTCACTCCTTCTGTAATCTTTGAACACTATATGCTTTGTCCTCAGTCTCTTTAATGCCTCATTAGAGACCACCTAATCACCAAATCTGAGTTTTATCTTCAGTCCTCATTTATCTGTATGTTAGTATCATCTGTTTCTGTTATATCTGTATAGAAAAGAATTAGATGTTTTTTGGTGTGGTATAAAATATGCTAATAAAGCTACAGTTTTGCAGAGAAATCCAGTAGTTACTATTTGGTAGAATACATTAAAATAAATTTGGACTGCTCTTTCATATTTATGTTCCATTTCTTTTGGGACTTGTCTGTTTAGGCTTTTTGAGGCCTATTTTTCTTACCAACTTCTTTTAGCATTTTTGGTTATTTTAGCATATTTTGGTTATTCAGCAGGGTCTCACTATGTAGTTCAGGCTAACCTTGAACTCACTATGTAGCCCAACCTGGCATCAGACTCAGGGTGACTTTCTTGCCTCAGCCTCCTGAGTGCTGGATTTACAGGTGTGTACACCATCCCTGGCTCTCTTGGTGACTTCTGAGAACCCTTTGCATGCTAAGGTTATTAACCATTTGCAGCATATAAGAATTTTTTAAAATTATGTTTCTTTAATTTTTTTGTTTTATTTGTATTTGAATTGTTTTGAAGTTTTATATAATCATCTACCTCTTGTAATGATGTTTCTGTGTCATGTTCAGAAAGTCTTTTTTTGAGTAAAATTTTATACAATGGAATATTATTTATGCAGAATCCAACCTGTTCTAGATTAATGATATTCCTAAGGGCTAGTTATCTTCAGTGTAAAACAGTACAGTGATGTAAAAAAACTTAATGCAAGTCAGATATGGTGTGCTTTATGGGATGTAAGGAATGGTAAGAAAAATCAAATTACTAGCTGTGGTGGCACACGCCTGTAATCCCACCTACCCAGGAGGCTGAAGCAGCAGGATTGCAAGTTTGGGGTCAGCCTCAACAATTTAGTGAGAGTCAAAATGAAATTAAGCAGGTCAGTGGTAGCACAATTGCCTAGCCTGGATGAAACCCTGGGCTCAGTCCCAGTGCCGATACACACACACACACACACACACACACACACACACACACACACGAGAGGGAGAGAGAGAGAGAGAGAGAGAGAGAGCGTGTGCGCGAGAGAGAGAGGGAGAGGGAGGGACCATCCAAATGTAACAGATTCATATGTGTGTTGTGATATATTTTGTAAATCAGTTGAAGAATGTTTAAATGCCTGTTCTTTTACACTACTTTTATTCTGGGGTGTTTTTTTTTTTTTATATTTGGTACTGGGGATCGAACTCTGGTCTTTCCGCTTGCCAGGCAGGCGGTGGAACCACTGAGCTAAATCCCCAGCCCCTTACACTACTTTTATTTTGAAAGTTCTTTGAACACAGTAGCCAGATTTTTCTTTCCAAATAGCAGGAGTGCTTCTTAACCACTTACCAGTCCAATTATTTAAATACAGGATAACCAAAAGTTTTTTCATTAATTTTTATAAGATAATGTAATGGAAAATACAAAAAGGACAACTTTATCAAATTTATTCAGTACAAGAATCAACTGGTTGAAATGACACCTGCCCAAGTTATGCACCAGACAGTATGTAAACAAACATGTTGTCCTGGTGTCACTCTGGGTAAACTGCTAAGTGGTTAATATATTAGCAGTGTACCCAAATACATAAATAAGTGCTTCTATATGTAAGTATGATAAGAGGAGTTGCATTTCATGGTTACTGTTTCAATTTCAGCTTTTACAAGAAGTTGAAGTGTGGAAAGAACAAGTGAGTGAACTTAATAAGCAAAAAGTAACATTTGAAGACTCCAAAGTATGTGCAGAACAAGTTCTGAATGAAAAAGAAAATCACATCAAGGTTAGTAGCTGTACTAGTTTTCATGACTGACTTGGCTAAAATGCTAACTCTGAAATTTGAAAACTTGTTTTTGTCACCTTTTATTTTCATTAAGCATTTGGCTAGACTTTCAAATGCTTCTTGAAGATTTATAGATTTATTGCATATATATTAGCATTGTATATTTTATATATCCATTTTATCTCTTTAGTACCTTATTTTAGGTACTTATGGGAAAAGAATAATGATTTTTACCTTTTCCTCTTTAGGCTGCCATCTTTCTGCTGGGAAAATGTTGGAAAGAGTTTGAGAAATTGGACAGATAGTTAAAGTCATATTTATTAACTGAATATAATACCTAAATTAGCTGGAATTCTATACTTTTATAGAGATGGAGACCTTTTAAAAATAAATTTAAATGGAACTTAACTCGAATCATAGGAATAAAATAATTGATATTACTCTCAGGGTTTGTTTGCCTTTTTCCTCCCTCCTGTCCTCCCTATCCCAGTCCCTTTTTCCTGCATATCACTGCCCCCAGAACCCCCACAACCTGTCTGCCCCATATTGGGGGATAGTATTAAACACAGCCTTCACTCTGAGCTATATCCCCAGAACTTTCTGTTTTCTTATCTTGAGACAGGGTCTTGCTAAGTTGCCCAAGCTGAGCTCAGACTTGCAATTCCTTTGCCTCCCGGAGTGCTGGGATTACAGGTGTGAGTTACTATACCATTTCTTTTATTGTTTAGATTTTTTTTCCAGTACCAAGAATTGAATTCAGGACTTTTTGTTTGCCAGGCAGGTGCAGTGCCACTGAGCTATGTCTCTGGCCCTACCCCATTTCTTTTAAATGTTAAACTTTCACAGTACAGTTACTCAAGTTTGAGTATCGATAACAAGATGAAAAACCTTCAGTAATCTATACAGAAAAATGGGTGTTACTATGCATTTATGCTAGTTTTGTTGCTATGAAAATGTTGTCAAGATACCAGTTTTAGGCATTTTATTCATAATTTGGTATGAAGTTGGTCCTCTATATCCACAGCTCCCAAAATTGTGACTTCAATCAACCATAGATCAAAGTACTCACCTCCAAATTGCATCTGTATTGAACACGTACAGAGTTTTTCCTTGTCATTATTCCCTGAACAATAGAGTATAACAACTGTTTACTAGAGTTGACATCGTATTAGGTATTATAAGTCATCCAGAGATGATTTGAAGTATACAGGACAATATGCATGTTATATGCAAATACAATGCCATTTCATATGAAGGACTTGAGTGTCCATGGGTCTTGGTATCCATGGTGGGAGAGGGTGTAGCCTGGAACCAATTCTGTATGGATACTGAGGGATGAGTGTACTGTTTCTTTCCTCTAAACTTATTCTACTTAAAGGTTTGGGATTCTTCCTAAACAGAAGAATGAGATGTGATCCCCAAGAACTGCTCAAAGTTGTAGTCTATGTTATTTGTGCCAGAAACCCTGAAGAGAGGGAAGAAGTTGAAAGTTGAAAATTTTAGAACAGGGTAGTCATTTGATTATCTATAATGTTAGAAAATTGTCCTTTATTCAAGAAGATTTAAAACACTGTTGTAGAACTTTAATACTCTCTTTTTAAATTCTCTTTCATAATGTCTTTCTTTATCAGCTGATTCCTTAGCTAGTTGTTTACTTGAATGAATCAAGTAAAAATCTGTGATCATATTGTCTCGCTTGCAGATTTTACATCACATAAAATTCACACCCATGTTAATGTCTGTTTTATTCGTGGCAGTGATAAATGCCATATAAGACAGTAGTTTACCACTTTGTAGTCATTTAGCGTATCTAGCAGGAATGGGCCATTATTGTATTTGGTTTAGAGATAATTTTGGTTTTTAGCTCGCAGAATTTAATAGTCAACACATTTTACAGTTAGGACTGCTTGTCTTAGTAACAGATAGAAAATAAGTACTTCTGTGCTGTTGTTTACATGGGTTAACTTTTAACTACTATTGCACATTCATAAGTTATAAAGCCATTAGCTTACAGCATTCCCTTCTCTCTTAATTTTTCCTTCTGCTGAATGTCAAGTCTCTGACTGAACACTTGGTAAAGATGAAAGATTGGGCTGCTGTGCTTGGAGAAGACCTAACTGATGATGGTAACTTGGAATTGGAAGTGAAGAGCGAATCGTCGAGTGGTGCTCAATTAGGTATTAAGTCATGACTCACCCTCTTTTCCTAAAATGGTGACTAGCTCTTCTATTTCCTTTTTGTTCCCCCTGTGCACCATGTTCTTTATCTGCTTGTACTCTGGCATATTCTTTCTGCCTGTCTCTGTCTGAAACGCCATCTGTCTCGCTCTCTGTCCATCCCATACAGTTCACTTTTAGCTGGAGCATTGCCCTTTCAGGAAATCTTTCTTCAGCTCCTTAGACTCACAGCCTCCTTCCTCTCTGTTCTCTTCCAGAATTACATGTGTCTCCATTGCAACAGTTTCCAAAATTGCATCATGATTGTTTCAAAGCTTGTTTTTTCTTGTACTTCAAGTTAATCATATGGATGGGTGACTACTTTAAAACATGAATGTTATATAGATCAGTAATTCATGATACTTTTTTTTGCTTTAGTGAAATAATCGTAGTACTTTAATCATAGCTGTCTCAAATTGTCATTGCCATTGTTGGTTGCATTTTGAAATTGGGAGAAGTTAAGTCCACTATAGCCACTCACTGGATACTCAAACCTATTCCTTTGACTTGTCAAAAAATTTTTTATTTTGATATAATTTTATGATTTTTAAAATTACTGTTAGTACATATTTGTAGTACATAATGATTACATTCATCATGGGGAGTTGGTACATGTACATAACACCTCTTAATTTGTTTTATGTACTCTTCTCCTTTCTTCCTTCCATCTTTGAAATAATTTTGGACTCCTAAGAAGTTGAAAAAATATCAGATATCTTATGTCCTTCTCCCAGGTTGCCCCTTAATCAACATTGTTATTAAGGAGGAACAGGTGTGATTTAAAAATTCTTTCATGGGCCAGGGGTTTAGCTTGGTGGCACTGCACCTGTCTCACAAGCACAAGGTCCTGAGTTCAATCTCCGGTACCAAAAAAAAAATTTTTCTTTCATGGTAGTATTCATATATTGGAAGAAAGTTATAATCCTGAAGTAAATATATATAGTAGTCTTCAGGAGATACTATCAAGCTGTCTAGTAGATGTGTGCAACAACATTTGGTACTGATCCCTGTATATATTGTCTTTTTCCATACCTGCACACTTAAATGATAATATTTAATGTATAAATTATAGTAAGAGAGTTACAACAATGATTAATTATAACAATACACTGTAAGGAAAATTTTGTAAATGCCATTTCCCTTGCTCATAATGCTACATCAGGTCATCTGATAACTGAGATGGCTGTTGAGTGACTGATGGGCAGACAGCGTATACTGCATGGATATGATGCACAGATGGGTGATTTACGTCTTAGGCGGAAGGGAATGATGGGTCAGCTTGGAATAGTGCATAATTTAAAATTGTTTATAGAAGTTTCCATTTATATAACTATGGAAATCACAGAAAGTGCAACTGCAAATATAGGAGGATTATTATAAAGTTCTGTGTGTACTTTTTAAACTTATATCAAAAGGAAATTCTTGTTCTAAGAGAACTTAGTCTTGTTAATGTTATTTTATTTGAGTTATAATTCAACTGAATTTGGATGCTGTAAAAATCCAAGAATAGTTGAGATGGTGTTCTATATTTAGATGAATGCTCAATCCGTATTATAACCCTATTCTTAGACTTAATGTAGAAGAACCTTTTTAAATGATGTGATACTTCTGGTGCTTTTATTGTTTAGCTTCCTGGGAACAAAGAACATTCCACCTTATAGCTAATTCTGGAATTGTAGGGCTCTAGTTGAGTGAACTAATACAATTATTTGGATGTCTGTTATAGTATTGTGCTGCTTTTCCAACTAATTTAATTTTTATTGTTCACCATAGATAACGAGCCAAAAGGAGCTTTGAAGAAACTGATTTATGCTGCTAAGGTTTGTATTATTATATAAATGTAAAAAATATGGATGAAGAAATAGCACATGCATTAAACCTATATATCAGGCCGGGGATTTAGCTCAGTGGTTTCGCTGCCTGCTGCACAAGCACAAGGACCTGAGTTTGATCCCCAGTACCAAAAAAAAAAAAAAGTACCAAAAAAACCACCAAAAACAAAAAAAACCTATATATCGTTGATAGCTAATTATTTCATTTTATTTTACTTTTTGGTTTTTTTGAGACAGGGTCTTTCCACGTAGTTCAGGCTGACCTTGAATTCACTATGTAGCTCAGGTTGGCCTTAACTTGTGGCAGTCTTTCTGCGTCAGCCTCCCAAGTGCTGGGATTGTAGGTGTGCACCATGATACTTATCTAATAACTATTTTAAAAGTTCGTTTTAATGTCCTCATGTAAGTATATTTAAGAAATGATCAGATATTTCTTCAATTACTTTTTACTTTTCTATATTAACTTTAGAAACTCATAATTTTTAGAATCAATTAAAACCTTCCAAGTTTACTCATTTCTTCAGATAATGAATGTTTTTAAAATGTTTACTACACTGTATTTTATGTCATACTTTCCTTAGTACATTCTTTTTCTTCTGACCTTAGTATTTTCTTATCCCCATTGCACTATATCCTATTTTGAGAAGTAAATACTGGGTTTATTTTCTTCTGGCTTATTCCTTCTTTCTTCTGTCCTGATCTTTGTTGATTTATGGGAAGTCTTGGTAATGTTGTGTGCAGACTGTCAAAACTTGTGTTGAAATAAATAGAATGAAAATAGTAACTTTTTAAGTACCTAGTAAAAAACATTCACTGATGTTCTCTATTCCTGGTCTCAGAATTAATTATTGGTGACTTTACTAGCTTTCTAAGATGGAGGCAGCACTGTTGGTTTCTAGGTGATAATTTCATTAGTGATAAAATAGCTTCTAAAGGGTTGGGGTGGCATATTAAGATTTTTTGTTGTTATTTGTTTAACTGATTAATGTTGCTTTTTTTCTTACTTTGTTCTTTAAAGTTAAATGCTTCTTTAAAATCCTTAGAAGGAGAAAGAAACCAAATTTATTCTCAGTTATCTGAAGTAGATAAAACAAAGGAAGACCTTACAGGTAAGTAATCTACATAGTTTTAAGATATTTCTAAATAAATACATCTCCTTATAGAGAATGAATTTATTGAATCAATTTTCAGAAGATCCAGTTTCATTGGTGAGTATTTGTGGAGAATTAGTCCTGAGTTTTGTTGTTGGCAAAACTTTCACAGTTTCTTTCGTATTTATGAGAAATTAGTGGAATACCATTAAATACCATTAAATGTAAAACCATTGATTACAGTGTTATACTTGGTATAGTTTTAGATGTTAAGAAATAGCAAATTGAAACTTTAAAATTTTTGTTGTTACAAAACCAATCTTCAGTAGTAGTACTAATTGCTATATATGGCTTCCTTCTTTAATATAAATACATCGTTTATTAGCACATAGAGGAGGGATGTTAGATCTGTAGAAGTACATTTTACTTTTCATTGGAAACATTTGTTTGCTAATAAGTGTTTATTTTTTTTAAAAAGATAAATAAGTTCTTGTGTGTTTGTATGTGTTTTTTTGGATCGAATGCAGGGCCTTAGCTCAGAGATTTATCTCCAGCCCTTTTTTCCATTAAGTTTATTTTGGTACATTTTAGGTATAAAATAGAGTTACAGTCAACATTGGGATCTTGTAACATTACATGAGTATCTTGGTTCTTATTTTTTCCTCTTCCCTTGCCCTCCCTTCACCCCCTCCATCCTTCCCTATTTGAAAGACTTTGTTTCCATTTTTTTCTTTTCTCATATTTTTTCTTTTCCCTTCTTTCCTTTCCCCTACCCCTCCCACTTCCCCTACTCCTTTAGACCTTTTCTTCCTATTACACAGTATCAATTATACATT